AAAGACTGGAACTCCTTTACCGCTAACTCCTTTTTCTTTGGATTTAAAATGTCACCAAAGATGTGAATAAAGTTAGTACTGCCATGGATAGTCAAGCTCTAGACTCGAATATACCAACCAATGGTTATAAATATTATAAAATATGTGAGAGAGGGTGGGGGAGTGAGAGAGAGACAGCGGGGGACAGAGACAGAGAGTTCAAAGCAAAGCAAGTTTACAAAATTTCGTTTGGGACTAATGCCTACCCTTTTCAGATTTTCATTCTCCAATGCCAGATCGGCAGCTTTTCTGGTTAACTCCTCACATAGAGCCTGAAGAACAAGCAAAGATGAATGGTTTGCTAAAGTATAAATGCATGCTAGCCAACAAAGCAATCTGCATGGGACACATATCATGCAATTTGAGAATAAGAAACATAATTGATCAACATCTATTTTTTCCTTTGAAAAGACCAGTGCACCTTGTAATGCATTTAATTACTGCCACAATGGCACATGTTATACTGTCATATTATGGCTAGAAACTTCAGTCGAACAGCAACTACAATTCAAAATATTTAAACAGATTCATGTCATTAGTTATTCCTGAGACTAGAAAATGCAAGGAGGCCGTCTATGGCTACAAATAATTAGTTCATAAAGGAAAGGGGAAAAAAAACCAGTTGGGGATCCCAAAGCACAAATTAATTAGATACCCTTAAGTTCACGAAACAGACAACATATTATCTCTGGATCTCAGGACAGGACTAGATACATCGCAGACTAGACACCCTCATGGTTCTGTAGGTGTAGGGTACAAGTGCAACCGTACAAGTGTTCTCCGAAACTAGTCCTGTCGTTTGCCTAAACCCTTCCCAATACAAAGCTCTGTTCCCTTTGCTATTTTATTACCACACAAACTTCATTTTTCAAAAAAAAAGAAATAGAAGAAAGATATATTAAACTAGCAGAGTAAAGCGGCCTACCTGCCGTCGACGAATTGTTTGCCTAGCTGACTCTCGGTTTGCCATTATTCTGCGTATCCTCCGCTCTTCCTTTTCCTCCTAAACAGAGAAAATATTAACTAACACTAAAAAGAGAAATGTAATCACAGAACATCGCACAGGGAAGAAGTTTAAAGGTTGTCAGTACCTCAGTTAAATTCCGCCTTGACTTGCTGCAAGTAAATGATGGGTAAATTGTAGTGCATATAGGACTTGGCTTATTTAATTCTGTATCATGCTCAGCCTTCACAACCTTTTCACTCAGAACCTGCTCAGTCTTCACTGGTTCTGTAAGGACATTTGTGCATACCGTTTCACATTGCTGCAAACCTGTCACCGCTTGATCCTGATATAGACAAAAATATTTCTCAAGTCCTGCAGAAAATAGTGCGATTTGGTGACAGTTAAGCATTCGCAACACCATGTAACAGATTACCCCACCCTCCCCCTCGATAAACTGGTGTCGCTAACTATATTTAGACAAATCCAGATGGTGATATTATGTGCAAATTTGGAAAACAATTCTAGCTAAGCCAGCCATGGACTCAGCCCCATTACAATGTACGTCCAGTGTAACAGATTACCCCACCCTCCCCCCCAAGGTTAAATTGGTGTGGCTAACTATATTTTAGACAAATCCAAATGGGGATGTGTTATGTGCAAATTGAAAAACGATTCTAGCTAAATCAGTATGCACTTGACCCCATTACAATGCATGTAATAACATTAAATTCCGGCCATATGCAAACTATTTATGCATCCAAATTGTTGGTGATGGAACTCGCAAAACTCACATCTCTGTAACTCGTCATGGATAAGTTGCTATTCTTCCCTAAAACTCCATTATTTCCCAGAATCTTTGAATTTTTCCAATTCAAGTTAAAATACCAATTTCACCCAATACAAAAACCACCATTCCCTTTCTCTTTCAGCACCTCCTTTCTCAAAACAATAATTTAAATCAAAATAAATGATAATTTCAAATGTGTATATACATATAAAGCCAAAAAACCAAACGAACCTGAGGGAGAAGATCCGGACATGTGGGAGGCGGGTCAAGCGGGTTCAAACCCGACCGACTCGGCGGAGACTCGCTCTTGACTCGCTTCCTCGCTCGCTTCCCTTTCTGCCCCCAATTCCCACCCGATTCAGCGCCGCTACTCTCACGCATAGCCAAATGCGCCAAATCCGCCAGCGCCTCCGCCGCCTGAAGCTCCTCCTTCACCATCCGATCCGCTCCGCCGCTCCCGCCAAACCCGCCAACCCCACCGCTCGTCGACGACGAATAAGAACCCGAATCCGGCGACGACGACGGCCCCGCCGCCGTGGACCCTGTCGAGCTCGAAAACGACCGCCTCCAGGAAGATACCATCGCTTCCCTCTCTCATAAAACACAAAACCAAAACCGCAGACGAAGTGTTTGATTATTTGTGTCACTGCGAGTTCGTACTTGCTTCTTCAGCACACGTTACGTTAAGCTACTGAAGCGACATAGTTGTAGAGAGAGTAAGTGGAGCGAGAGAGGAGAGAGAGAGGGTTACTGCCTCCCTGGTACAAAAGCAAAAGAGTTGCGAGAGCGTGCCACTTGTCGAGCCACCTCAGGCCACGACGTCCTCGCTAAATCGAGCTTCATATATCTCTGCGCGCCACGTCTCCCTTTGCGGCCGATTGCGCGGGTTTGGGCTCGCACGTGGGTGGCGAAGGAGGCACCGCACACGTGGCCCGGCAATTGTTTTACACGTGGAGTTTTCGGCTACTTTGCGCTTTCTCGATGAGGTTGTGGAATCGGAGGGTAGATTTTTTTTTTTTTTACCGAGCGGTGAAACGGGTGGGGGACATATTTTTCACTGGTTTGAGTTGACACCCGAAGGGTAAGTAAGAGGTTACAGTTGTCACCGTTGGGTCCCAGTGCGTGGTTGTTGCCTGTTGGTTTTGTGGGTCTCTTTGGTCCTTCTGATTTGAGTTGATTGCCCGTTTTCACGTCTAGCGTTAATTTTGTTACTAAAATTTGAGATTATTTGTCAATAATTTCGTGTTTAATAGTAATTGTGATTTAAGTTTGATTGTGTAAATCTGAAATAAAGATTATGTTGGAAGAGCAATGCTCGTTTAAGGTCCTCAAAATTAAGACTTGTAAGGGCCTATTTCAAGTTGATTCTCCTTCTTATCAAATTGAAGGAGTGAGCGAATTCGACAAACTTCATGATTCTATTTATATTCACAAACTTAAAGTCTTGGAAGCGAAAATATTGCTAGTCATCTCTTGCTTCTGGCAAAAGGATCAACTTTTGGTAATTAAAGCGTTCTTCGAGAGCGAGCCAAAGAGCTCATCTACAATGCATGATGCAGGGCCGTCTCTGAGATTTCGGGGCCCTGTGCAAAATTTATAAAAGGGCCACTTTTTAATATATATATATTTTAAAGTATGACAATATATTGGTACTAGAAAATAATAACTTAAATCAAAACAACATTTAGGACTCACTGATTGAAAGTTACAAGTGTCATTAAATAAGTAAAAAGAGTTATAAACATAATCTTCACTAAATAATAAAAAACAGTTCAATCTTAAGCAATCAAATACAACAACAATAACAAAGTCTTTTCCCACTAAGTTAGGTCGGCTATAATCTTAAGCAATCAAATAAAGAAAAAAAACTTCAAAAACTATAACTTTAGAGTTTCACTTGAATATATAACATTATTATATAATTAATAAAATTGAAAAGAAAATCGTTTTTAAGGTGTTGTTATTAACACTCATAATATCTCATTGTGCAATCCAAAAATTTTATATTTAGAAAAAAAAAATTTACACTTATAAAAGTGCACTATAAGATTTTAAAGTGCTAATAAGAGCATTTTTTAATATATAACATTATTACATATAAATATAAGATACCAAAAAATTTGGGGGGCCCTCAAATTTGGGGGTCCTGTGCGATTGCACATTTCGCTCCCCCTCAGCGCCGCCTCTAGCATGATGCATGTGTCTTCGAACTCATAGTAGTGGCTTTCTCAGCTTCGCCAACTGAATTTTCAGTTTTAATGGTGGCACTTAGCTTATTTGCAGTCAAATAGAGTTTTACGTCTTGCACCCACTTCAAGTAGTTTATTCCAAAGACTTCCAAGGCAGGTGAAGGTTCGAAATTTCGCTAAAATGGATGGAAAAGGTCGTGGTTTGTGCTATGGAATAGTAAAATGACCATAAGCACCAAGGTTTAGGACATTTTGGTTCAAAGACATAGTTTGGTTCAATTAATAGCAAGTAATGGCTTGGCTCCATGTAGCTCAAATGCGATTAGGATCTATATTTCTTTTTTTTCTTTTTTTTTACTTTTTTGTCAGTTCTCTCACATAATTCAACACAAAAAATATATAATAATCGATAAATCAAAGTAAAATATATAATTCGTAAAATAAATAGCAAGTAATGCTTCATGGTGAATCAAGCAGCTTAGGTTTATTTTTCTAATTTACTGAAATTGTTAATGGGGCTTGGGCCGTTTTAGTTGGTCCAACTCAGGTCCATTCAAAGCCCAACCTAACCTCAACTCAAATGTATGCCCAAAGCAAAATTTCTATTTTTGTAGAAATTTTGTAGTCTTCTTTTTGCCCGTACTCACAACTCATCCATGTCCTTTCAAACACTACAAAATCTTTGTACTCACGAAAATCACAAAGTAAACTGTGTAGTGTGTACAAGCCTGAACTGAACAACATCTTTGCGGCAATAGAACTGCCCACCAAATCTATGTCGATACTCATGGTGCAATGTCTCCAACGCCTCTAATCATTGGTTTTATGCAGTTAAACTCGTTCACAAGTTCCAGTTATTCCGAAAAAAATTTCTATGAAACTAGCTACGAGACAGACAGTTAGGTTCTTTATTAACTCTTAACCGAAATCGCTTTACAAAGTAAGAACTTAAATGGTTGTTTCCTTGTTTAGTACCTCGAATCTTTGTTTTTCAATTAGGGTTTGTTTTTGTTTTTCAGATTCTAAGATTGTGATTAACATGGCGTTACCTGGACTCAAGGCACAAATCAAAATTTTAGTCCAATCCATGCTTCATGAGGTAATTAACTCTTTACTCTCGTTCTTTTGGTTAGGGTAATTACACACAATGGTATTAAGCCATTTTTCTCTCTTTTTTTGATACGGGGACGTCGGGAAGAGGGATATTTGAATACAAGATCTAGGTGTATGAGTGAACGTTCTTAACCACATACAAACCCTTGCTATAAAGGTATACGTGATATGTACTGGGTTTTCAATATTTTTTTTGTACAGGGTATGTTGGACTACCAGTTTACTCAACTACAAGAGTTGCAAGATTCAAACAATCCCAATTTTGTTGCTGAAATAATCAAGTTGTTTTGTGACAACACAGAACAGGTTATCACAGAGTTAGAGAAATATTTGTAATAACCTAAAAAACTCAAACTCTTGGATACAATTACATTCATTTTTTGTGTAGAGATTTTGATCCTTTATCCAACTTTTGGATTTTGGGGTTTATCTATTTATGTTATGCATTGTTCGCAGATGTGAAGATGTTGACTTTTGCAAGTTGACTCCTTTTGTTCTTCAACTCCAAGGAAGTAGCTCTAGGTACGATGCTAACTGCTTCTCCTTAATTATTATACATTTATGATTACTTCTGAAACGGTTAAAAAATTTCGGACGACTAAATTTTAACTCTGTTTGACAGAAACACTTAAAAGCATTCTTTGAAGAAGCACTTGGATATCTAATAAAATTTTTACGTGAATATAATAAAGGGAACTTTAACGAAAAGTTTATGGTACTGTTCACTTTAACGAAAAACCACATTTTTACACTAAAAAAATCAATTTTGGTACTATTCACTTTGCCATTTATTTTGTCCTTATCATTAAAATTCAAAGTTTTCAAGCTATTTTCATTAGTTTTCCTTATAATAAAAGTATTTATAGTAAGTGCTTACGTGCTTCTCCATAAGCACTTTTAGCTTCTGTCACGAATGCTACCAAAACTGCTGTGGCTATCATGGAGCGTTGCGCATACCTCACTTTTGCTTTACTTTTGGCCTTGCAGCATTGGCGCACGGCAAATGACACTAGCTTGTGCTGATCTTCGCCAGGCTTCTGATGACAAAAACAAGGAAGGGTGAGAAAATCTTATGGGTAATTAACCGGTTGTATACAATTATGTTAGTATTTTTTATTATGTGATTAATTATGAGGTAAGATGTGATAGAGTGCTAACAGCATTGTTAGGTAATGTTTTTACGACGCTCTCACAAAATTCTTTTTTGAACTTGGTTACTGTACATTCATTTACTTAGTACATTCACTATCCGCCGGCCATATCCAATATTAATGTCTTAAACATTCTATATAATAAAACTTAGAAATGGTGTGTAAATAATAGTTTTAGATTTCTGTCCTTGTTCAATAGATTTTTGTCCTTTTCAGGTGCCTACATGCCTTGAGGAGAATCACACATAATTACATAGAATTAGACCACAAGTTTCAAACTTTAATACAGGTAATGCATTTCATGTACTATCACTTTCACTTTATATCTAAATAGTCTACGTGAAGGAAAAAAAAGAAAAGAGATTTATTTTGTATTATTTTAAATATTATTATCAGGAGGAGCGGAAAGGGTAAAATAACCCTATCACCCTCCCCCCCCCCCTTCCTTCTCACCCTTCGATTCTCGCAACGCTGAGAGCCTTATTAGCTAAGGTTGTTCTTTATTGTTATCAAGGTGAGGGAAAAGCGTTCAAACTATTACAATGATTTAGAGGGCGGGTTTCGATGCATGGGTAAAAACCCTACAACCAGTGGCGAAGCCAGGATTTGTTAGGGGGAGGGGCGAACTTAAAGAGTGCAAGATTCAAAAAAATGACAACGATCAAATCCTTTTATAGTAATATCTTCCATGGTTTTATCAATATACATTACAATAGTTACCGACAACGTTTCATACCATAAAAATTTCGCATAAGAGGCTCATTATAATATCTTTATATTAATTAACTGTATAATGCAAAGAAACAAAAATCTTAGATTATTAGTCTTAGAGTTGAATATACTATATAACTAATAACTAATAAACCAATCAATACTAATAATCATATAAATTATTCAATAAACAAAAATTCAGTTAATCAATATCAATAATCAATTAATCTATAATATAAAAAAATCAATTTTTACCCTAAATAACAATTTCATTAATCAATAATTATATAATTTCTTATCAATAATCCATAATTAATATTCATTAACCATGTTGATCAACTACTCTATGATTCTATATAAATTAAACAACATTTTGTATTAAATAATGAATTAGGGTTAGGGATAATATAAATTTAGAAATTAAAGATTTCATCTAAAAATTTGGAGAGAAGTGGCCAACCAAACCAAAGGATGGCGCATGGGCCCTGGAAGCTGGCAGCAGGGTGCAGGGAGGTGGCTTGAACTTTGGAAGCAGGGAAGGCTAACAGGATGTTGCGGCTAGCATTTGGGGAGCTGTTACTCTCCGATTGTTTTGAAATTGGAAAGAATAGGGTCTGGGATAGTGGTCTCCTTTAATTATTTAATTTTTTTTTAACTCAATAACCTAAACGATGTCGTCCCACTGAAGGGAGTTTTTAAATTTTTTTTTAACCAGTACTAAAACGACGTCGTTTTGGCCTGGTTTTCACAAAAATAAAAAAGGAACTTGCGTGCAGTAGAGCTGCACATGCCAGTGGCTGATCTAGGATTTTAAACTTAGGGGGTCCTAATAGTAAAAGTCAAAAAATTTATAGACAAAAATAATATTTAAATTTTAAATTATAGCACATTTCATTCATAGATCATACGCACAACACAACAACATTACGAGCTATGAAATCCTAATTCAAGCGTCCATGATGAGATTTCATAGTCTGAAAATATTCCACGATAGCTTCATTACCAATACATGAAAAAATATTTTCTCAATGTAAACAACTAAGTTGTCATTCAACTATTGATCTCCTATTTTCTTATTTCTACAATACATTATTAATAAAAAAAAACACATACCAATTAACCAATAAACAAAATTCCAATAATCAAATGAGTATGCAAATATAAAACTATCAATAATAGACTATAAATCCCCATCAATATATTATAATTTAATTGAGATTAGATTAGAATACCAATAAACAAACTTGAATTTTGAGAATTTTGGGGAAATGGAGAATAGGTGAACATGTAAAAATGGGGGCATCGGGATGTTGAAAGTAGGATGGGACTATGGGGGACGTGTTGGGGGGCCTGGTGCGTTAAAACAGAAAAAGGACTAACGACAACATTTTGGCAATTGTTTTAATCTTTATGTTTTTTAAAAAATTAAAACAAATTTCCAAAACGAGCGTTTTGGGCCAGGGTTAAAAAAAGAACATCCCTTTCTTCTTCGTGCAGTCGTCTTCTTCGTGAAGACTCTGACGTTGCAGTTTGCACATGCCTTCTTCTTCCAGTACGAGGGGACCCCGGAAAGTTTCAAGCAAAGAGTCAAGGTCATCGAAGGGTCCTGGGACCTCCCAGGTCCCTATATAAATCCGCCACTGTGCACAGCAACAATGAACCCAGAAAACACAGAACTTCATCACTTCTGACGGGATCGGAGGGGCGGAACCACCGCTCCTAGGCTTGATTTCCGGCAAGGGGAGGGGCAGACGCCACTCCTCGCGCCTATGTAGCTTCGCCACTGCCTACAACTCCATTAAGATATTCAACTACTAACGTCCTTTTAAGCAAAAAGCTGGTCAAATGAGTGCTACACAAGAAACAAAAGCCGACTCGCGGTAAGACAGAGAACTGGTGTTTTTTTTTCATTTTAAAAAGATAGAAACCATACTTTCAGACTTTCAGTGATCCCAAACTAATGGGGTGCAAAGATTAATTAGACCATAATTTGTTATCATCTACACTTGTAGGTGTTGTATATTAACATTTTCCTCACCTTTAGGTTGTGCAGCTGGAGAAGAGGATCCTTGACATTGAAACCGTACACCAAAGGATTTGATTTTATGAGGAATAATTTGGTGTTATCAAATGAAGATTTTGTTTTTAAGATTAGAGCTTTTATGGTTCTAAGATTAATTCTTTCTTTCCTTGTGTAGTATCTGAATTTTATTTAATTTGTTTATATTTGACAAACGATATGATAATCATACTAAATTCATCTAAAAATTCTAATTACACGAAAGAAAGAAAAGATTTTGAGAAATTGGAACTTGAGTGCAGAGAGTAGAGCACACTACTTTAGTTACCATATATGTGTACCTCGGAAGTTCAAGTTGGGTAAAATTTTGTAGAAAAGGAAAAATCATCAGTCAAGGTTGACAAATGATGGGATGCCTCAAATCTCCTTTATGTTTAATTTAGTGCATTCATTATCAGGCTTGCATTAGGTCCTTGAATTGATTGGAAGGAAATACTTGGGCCCTGTGGCTTCTCTTTTGAGCACTAATCTTAAGCATTCTTGATCATTGAGTCAGCTAAACCTATTTTAATCTAAACATTCGTGAGGCACGAAAGTGATGAGTTTTCCAAACGTCAGAGACCATTCCAGATAAAAAAATCCGAAACAAATTCAAACTTTACCCAGCTACGTGTTACTTGTCACTACAACGAACTAAACAGAAACAGTAGTGACTCCATGAAAACATGACTAAGAAGAAAATGCTCTTAACGATTAATGTCAAAAGTTTTAAGTTTGACAGGAAGTTGACTATCTATACTACATTCTCTAAAACATCCATTAGAGATGGGGCATAAAACTGATGATGATGATGATAATTATTGGTGCAGTTCAATCATCAGATGACTGTCTAATCAACGTTATTGACATCCGTGGTGGAATTCGACGTATGTGATGTGAAACCAGATGTTGGTGATGTGAGATTCGATGTAGGTGATGTGAGACCACCGAACCGCCTGTAGGATGGCGTTGGGGGAGATCTCGGAGATAGGTTAACAAACTCTAAGGCCTGCATTCTCAGCTCTACCGGATAGTCAGCAACACAACCGATTCTCGGGCCAGCTCCTGTTGACCACTTGAGCGATAGCTGATGCCCGAGTTGGTATGATTTCACTGAGGTCTTGGAGTTGATCCTCTGCAGTATCTTATTCTGAGGCACCTCAGTTCTTGGACTTTGAAGACCACCGGATAAAGTCCTCTTGTACTCAGTTTTGGGTTCCGCTTGGGGAAGTTCAGTGGATTCTACGGATTGGGTTTTCTCCACTTCTGGAATCTCCAGTTGAGGAGTTTCAAAGTTGGTTGGCATTCTAAATGTAGTCCCACCATTAGACTTGCCATCATCGTAGCAATCAGTATCGGCCTTGTGTATCTGGGGAACAACAGAGTTTAACACACCATTAGCCAAATGCAGATTAACGAAAAAATGGAACAACAAAACTCCCAATGAAGTGTCACCAATTCGTGGTAATCCTAGTTTTATTTTCCAGGTTGCTAATTTGGAATAAAAGCGCTAAAAGAACCATACGTTTTATCAATTACCTGAACTTCGTCTAGGTTCACCCCCGTTATCCTTGAGAACTGATAAAAAGGTATCAAGCCTGTCATCTGTTGGCCGGTAATGCCCGCTATATGCAGAGATTGACTGCAAAATCAACGATATAACGATCAGATGATATAAATCCAACATACTTCATCAGTACTTTAATAAGGCACTACCAAAATATTGCTTGTGCATGTTAAGTTTGTTTTTGTGCTAAAGGATCAAAGATAACCGCTATAAAACAGTACCTTCAGAATTCCATTCTCTGCCTCTAGCCTTCCAGCGGCTATCGTCGCGCTCCTCCAGCCAAGAAGCTAGAATGATGGAAAACCCCTTTCTTTTTCTGAAAGAATCAGCAATGTGTTAGCTATTTTCTTGATAACAACAGAAAATCGGAAACACGGGAATCTTATGTTTTCGATTCTTACAAAGCCGGCATAGAGTCTCTTAGAGGTGCTCATAACGAATATCCACTTAGCTCCCGGAGATCCATCTTTTGTATGAAGAAGCTCTCCAGTTTGCGAGTGAATAAGTTTCCCTTCCTCAACAATGTATTCATAATGCACTCTCTCTTGCTAAAATTCATCAGCAATATCCACAACCACAAAAAGGGTTAAAAGAAAGACCATAAAATTTCATAAAATCATGTAAAGTTGAATTGATTCATAGAAGCACATACAGGTCCAAGATACTTGATGCATTGTTGTCGAAGCTTCGATCTCGGGCATTCTTTCAGATCAAGCTCTTTTCCATCTCCTACATCCAACCTGCAAGGGAAAAAAAATCAGAACAAAAATCAAACTTTAATCAAGTGATTAAACAAATTAACTTGAAGAAAACAAAAATGGTAACTTTTCATACCAGTAAAAAAATGGCTGACCAGCATCTGCTTTAGACCACTCTTCATAATACACATGCAAGCTATGGCCATACCTATGCCTCGGATCAATCTGGATTTTACCCACCCAAAATTTCATTCAGTAAAAACAAGGACAAGAAATTGATTATGTTGATTAACAAAAGTTAAATTTTATAAAAAAAATCCAGAGAAATCATCTAATAAAAATAATTACAGCTTCAATCCAATGCTGAAAAGCCAATTTCTGTGCTTTGGCGTCTTTGGATAGCCCCTTGCCCACCTGCCAAAAAGTCCAAAATTTCAAGTGACAAAAGTAAACATAAGAGTGCGCTCTGCAAAAAATCATTTCCTACTAATAATCAAGAAAAAGTAAACATACGAGTGAACTCTGAGAAATCTTTTCCGATACGAAAAACAGTAACTACACACAAATTATATTTCTTTTTCGATCCAAACCCAGAAATTAAAACATAATTGTTCAAAAACATACCTAAAAAATAAAATAAATTTTACCTTAGAAGCATTCTTGCCGACACGGTTCCAACGTTTAGCCACAGATTCGGCGTGATCAAAGAACGAAATCGTGCTGCGGTTCAATCTCCAAGCATCTATCGCTTGCCACCTTCAATCAGTAAAACACCCCTCATTTTTCAGTTAATTACATAAATTTGTGTGTTCGTGTTACCGCTGAATACCGAACTGTTAAAAACAGAAGAGAAAGCGCGGAGATTCGGTACGGTCTCACTCACCAGTATTCTTCAACGACGACGGCGGGAGTCGCTACCTTGCCCGTGTGCGGTTAACTCCGATACACCTTTCACTTCACCGCCGCCAGTCACTCGACCACTCGCCCCCCGGGTGTCACTCGCTGGCGCCCCGTTAAGCACTTCGGGGGCCAAGCATTTCGGGTCAACGCCAGACATTTCAGAGCTGCGGAAGTCGCGGGAACCGAGGTCGGTGAGGGAGTAAGAAAACGGAGGATTGTCGAAGGTTGGGAGGGTTTGTGTCTGAGTTTCCACCTCCATTTGTTCGATAAGAGAGGGTCGAAAGGATGGTCGGAGTTGGTAGAGTTCAATGAATTTTATATGGGGGAGGTGGAGGTGTGGGCGTGGTGTTACCGGGAAACTTACATGTGAACCTGTGAACTTTAAAGCATTATCTAATTCTAAACGTCTGGGTTTTTGGGAGTGAGAGGTGTGTGGCACGCGCTCGGAGTACAGATGGGGCACTGTACTCGCTATGCTGTGGCTGAGCTGCTCAAACTGCGAGTGCAGTGACGGCTGAAGGTGTTCTCATGATTTATAGGGTTAGGGTAACCAAAGGGAGAAATTTTTTTATTACGATGGAAACACGAATGACATATTACGTGTTTTGCAAGGTGTATCACTCTATACGACGGTCATAATGAAAAATTTCTCAAGATAGAGGAGAAATTCTGAATTATTTTTCCTTTTTTTACAGGTGATATTCTAAATTAATTTACTAGGAAAAGAAAGAGATTTTGAACCTTGAGCCGAAGGCTCTCTAATTATTAGGCAATCCACCACTTGATTTAGACATAAATGAAACTAGCGTAGAGATAATTTTGATGTCCACTATCTTTTTTAGTACAGATCTAAAATATTGCTGAAATAAGATTAAAAAGAAGAAAATGATAAAATTAATGGAGGGGATGTAAGAACAAACAAATGTGTGGATAGCACTACCTATAAAGCATATGGATAAATTTTTTTAGATAATCCTTTATTTCATTAGCTGAAAAGGTGCGTGATAGTTTACTTGTGCCATATAAGTTATGTTCATAAACTTATTTCTAATTGATTTAGACTAATAAACTAACCATATTAACTCACTTTTTAATAGGAATAGATCATACTATGGTATAAAAACACCTACCTAATATATTAGAAACTGTAATCAATATGGTTATATTTTTTACAATAAAAAATTAAAATAAGATGGTTACTTTTGTTAGTGAACGATCAAATCATACATTAGGATATAATTTTACTAAATCTGTTAATAGATCATTGTTATCATTGATTTAAATAGTCAATTTTTTTTAGTCGAGCGATAGCGTTTGTAAGTTAAATATTAAATTAGTCATCAATTTAAATAGTCAATTAAGTTTTTTTTTCTTGATTTTCTTTCATTAAGGAGTTGTACGTATTAATAATATGACTAATTTGTTAATATTATATGACGATATTTGAGTAAACAGGTGAATTAACTAAACTGTAAGTTTATTGGCAATTGATTTAGACATAAAACCGACCATATTAACTCACTCTTTAATAAATAAGATTTTACTATTGTATACAGGACCTACTTACCTATATGGCTATATTAGAGACTTTCTAAGCAATATGGTTAGTTTTGTTGATGAAAGATATTCGATTAATTAATATATGATTCTCCTATATTTGTTATAAATGATTGTTATCAACTATTTAAAATTGTCAAATATGTACTAATTTAATCTTACTTTTTTTCATTAAGGAGTTGTAATGTCGATAATATGAACGATATGCAAATCTTATGTGACAACATTTGAGTATTACTGAATAAGCAGATGACTTTTACCCAAGGATATTTATTTATGTGTTTTAATCCTTTCTAATTTATTCAAACTAATAGTAGAAAGGGGCCATGGATTTTAAAGTGAGAAATGCAAAGAGGATTCTTTCAAAAGTAAGACAATTTATGATTTTTCTGTCATTTCAATTTTTATTATTTTATATTATTAATACAAAAATTAACGTTAAATATAAATAACAGAACTTGTATAGAAAGCTTCGATTTTTATAGAGTTTCTTAACATTTCTCGGAATTTCAATGTGATTCACTTGCTTGGATTTCTCCAATTCAATTTTCCAGGTCAAATATATTTCAGAATGTGGAATGACGTGTGACACCATGTAAATTGTAAAGTAAAAGACGTCCCCCAACATTGAATTATTAATGTCCCAGTCTGTCTGTCTGCCTATCAATTTTTACTTTTTTTTTTTCTTTTTTCGGCCTATAGAAACTAGAATGAATTCAATCTTTGTTTTTTTTGGACTTGCATGTTTTGGACATTTCTGAGTTAGGTATTTTTATTTTTGCAAATCTTATATTTGAGGACTAGTAATGGTACACGTATTTACTTAATTAGACAATCATTTGTGAAGGGCAGATGTTTATGTGCAAACTATGCGCTCGTTTGAAATTGTTTATAAAATAATTGAAAACATTTTTTGTCAAAATCTTTTTAGAGCTAATCTTTAGTAAAAATTCAAGTAGATCATGAAAAAACACTTTAAGTGTTTCTTGCAAGAAGTACATATTTAGTGCTTCTTCCCAAAAGCACTTGAACCAAAAATCAATTTCACCAAAAAACGCTTATACAGCTCACTTCACTGCATTCAAACAATCCTACTAATCCACAACAGTAGTGCATGACTCCCATACATCCCAAACTAATGAAATAGATTATTTGATAAAATGAATCAAGAATTAGGGATTTATAATCAAGAGTTTGGTTGGGAATCAAGAGTGGAAGTCTAAACAATGATTTGATCTGTTTCGGGGTGTTTCAAAACTCAAAAGAGCTTACTAGGAGTTTTTTAGCTCAGTTATTAGATTGGTCGACTCTTGGAAGTGTTTCCAGTTTTTTTATAGGCTTCCATTGATTTGGGTTCCTTATAATTCTGATTTTTTAATTTTACGGTTTTGAGTTGTAGTGATTTAATGTTAAGATTTAATTTAAGACGTGTCTAAGTTGTCTCAGCGTCACCCCCCAGTGGTATTTCTAGTCTCGAAGCGAAGATTTCACTTTCCATTGCTCCTTTGAAACTACAAGCGCACATTCTAAACCTTACCATCTTGTTTACTCGAAGATATATCAAATATAATTTAAACCGAAAAATAATTCATTATTTCAAAAAACAAGACACGATATAATACAAAATGACTTCTACAGGTCCTGCTAGAAGTAACAAAATGTGTAATGCATACACTTCACTCATTGCAAATTGAGATGTAAAACAAATACATGAGATGACAGTTTCACATGACAAAAATCATGTAGTGTACATTGCAAATATTGGCAACTAACTTTGTTATTTTTCTTTATAGAATCCTGGTTTTTGCGTGTCTTTCAAAACTTGCAGCTGTCAATTAACGTCGCCTCTTTTAGCGCCTAAAACTGTGCGGTGGACAGAGATATCTGTGCGTTTGTTGTGCTCGCGTTCGTGGCAAAGACAGAACTTCGTTGTGTCGTTGTCTTTTTTAATTTTTTGGGTTTGTACGTTAGGTCGTTGTACATTTATATAATATTTACACAAAACTTAAATGATTTTATAAAACGGTAGACCAAGTCGTGAAACGCACTCTAGGTAAAGGTGACTTTGGTGCCCGGTTCAACCGGTCACGCTGTGCTGGAAATGATGACCAACACTCCCTCTTAGTCTTCGTCTTCGTCTTCCGTCAACTTTCATCGCAAATTTTAGGTTATGTTTGTCGTGGATCAGGAATCATGGAAGTTGCGGTGAAACATGATATGCAAGGGGTTGGTAGGGTTGGCAACTTGGAAGTGTTGCAATGTATCCGCCCAAGTTCGGTTGCAACAACTTTGCAAGAGACCTCTATAAAAATGTATATCGTGGGGCACATTGTAGAGGATTCAAATGCGGCGCTGCGTAAGAGCAGCACTTTGAACATTTTCTATTGAGTTTCCTAGTCAAGCCAACGATACTACTCACTATCTAGCTCGATATGTATGCTCTTTATATTAGTATGTGTTATAACTGATTTAAGGAACCTCCAGACCTCATCTCAAATTTATTGTTGGAATATTGTATTGAGTAAAGGGCGTTTCTTTATCCCCCATGTTGTACTGTTACCACTTCATTAGCGAAATCTATTGAGTTTTTCATAAAAGAAAATTTCGTTGGAACTCAGTTGGTAGAATAATTATGGTGTGAAATATAAAATTAAACACTAGGGGCATGCTTGATACACCGGACCGGCTTGGCTAGTATTTGTCTTCTTTGACCTTTGATGTACATCATGGGTTGAGATTCATTCCGGATATCTGTGTCTGAAGCCAACCGAGAGATATATACCACTCAATTTCAATCATACAATCCCCATTAGCTCATCCCATTAGTCAACTTCACAAAAACTCAAAAACTTGAACGGTCCAAATCTCTCTCTAAAAATGTCAAATCTCTTTGTCTGCAAATTCTGACACACAGAGATCCGAAGTGGACCTCATTCTGCACACCACCTAAGGTTTCTGACAAAATAAGATATGGAACGATCTACTCTCAATATTTAGAAGGAAAAAAAAATGAAAATTTGAGGTTAAAACCAAAAATGTCATAGCATGAAAATCTCCGAGAACCTTCTCCTTGCCTAGTGGCAAAAGCATCAGTGTCTCAAAACTAGCCACTTACATGGACTGGAAATTAAAAATTAACGGGGTCACGTTACAATACTCTCTATTTTTTTTTTCAAAAATTTGAAAAAGTTATATAGTTTTTGAACAAGAAAGGTATATAGTTAAATATATAGGGGCATATAACCTTGGTTGAGGCCAATATAAATCATTTCTTTAATGCCATGTGCATATGGTTTTATGGATATAGATGTCGTAGTCAAACCATCCCTTTAAGTGTGACAAGTCCACCAAAGGAATATACAGATAAGCCAATTCCCAAAGGCTTTTCTATTTGGAGATATTTGTCATTTACAAATGATCAAGCCTTAAGCTTAAGCCGAAGTGATTAGACGTCTGTCTAATTTCCTTAAGCCGAAGTGATTAGACGTCTGTCTAATTTCCTTGTCTATTTGACCTGGAGCAAGAACCTAACCTTATTTATAATCTAGTTTCTATTAATCATAGCAACTTAATTAGGATGTTCATAAATAGTTGCGTGGATCGCAAAAAGTTTCTGAAAATTGTGGGAGATCTCATTAGTATATATAGGCAATGATTAAATATATAAATTTAGAGTAATGCTAGGTAAACTAATTTTAGACT